TTTAATGATAGACTTATTTTTACATGTTAAACTAAGTTAACGGAGTATTATATATTATCAATTCATACTGAGAAGAGACTTCGATATCATATACAACTATCAGTAATATCTTGTCCGAAATTGTACACTTCTTCTTCGAGATGTTTCCTCCTAGAAATCCTTGACAATTTCTAACACATAGCCACTAAAAATTTCGGGGAGTATGGGAATTGCACTTCAACAATCCACTCTACGTCGGGATACAAAGAACAAACTAAGTGCCGCAACTGAGGGGATCCTCGCTAGGTCCGGAACGGTCTCGAGGGAAAACCTTGTGACTGAGACAGGCTAGCCAACGCGAATATGCCGCGGTGTTCCGAAGAAAAACAGCAGATCTCGCCTCTTCTCTTCCTTCTCTTAATGGGATAACCAATGCGCAGAGGCACGACAGATCTGAGGTCTGGCCACGCTGATGATATTCGAATTGTTAGATTTGGCCACACCACTGCTGAGTCCACTGCCGCTGCTCAGAAGGAAGTTGATCACCTGCTGGATTAGGCGCAGAAGTATACCGTCCAATTCGAGACGGAAAAGTCAGAGGTAGAATAATTACCACCACGGCATCGCGAGACAGCTGTTGGCGACCACGTAAATGACGTTCTCATAGAACCAGCCGAACATGCTGGCTGGCTTGGAGTTCCTCTCGATCCGCGACTTAACTTCAAGTATCATGTGATGACTTGGTCCGGATATCAAATTAAAGTTGCACATTTTATGCGACGCTTTAATTCCACATTTTGAAGGACCGCGACAGGAGCACTAATACGGGCAGTAAATAATTGAATTGTTACAATCGTGACTTTTGGAGCGGAGGTCTGGTGGCCAGGACTGAAACGCCTAAAATGAACAGGAGTAGTCACGCTGCCTACCGCAAGCCTCTATAACATGATCGACAAGGCCATCATGATGGGTCTCCAATCAACACCCCCAGTTCTGTGGACTACTTCAAGTGTGATCTCACACAGGGAAGGAGGAACCCCATCTGTAAATATCACTCTAGAGGGAAAGACTACGATTTTCAGCCAGAATAAAAACCCTCGATGATAGCCACCCGCTGCGATCTGGTGCTGCGATGTACCTAAACTTTGAGACGCGAAAGTACAAGAAAAATCCACGAGGACTTGATCACGTAGATAGACAAAGGACTCGCGCAAACCGAGCTTATCGACAACTTCCGGACGCAGAAGCTTCGACGCCTTTGCCATCGCCATTTTACTCTTCCAGGTCCATAACTAAGTCAGAGGGATCAAGGACAAGCAAGCGTTGGATAGACAGCGTGCCTGCATCCGAATTTTTGCCTACTCACACGGCTCATCGGAAGGAAATTAACGGTCAATTTGAAGGTTTTTTCTCAAGACATGCGGCAAGACTCATCTAAAGAAAAGTGGTATCCGACATGGAGGAGAGGTCCTGGATGCAGAAATCGCAGGGGCGCTAAAGGCTCTTGAGGTGGCGCCGGGAATGAAAGAAGCGCAACAGAAGTCCGGTAGAGGATACGGTGAGTGAATGTGTTTCTGTATATTTTTTTTTTTTTTTAAATCATTAAGTGTATGCAGATGTTTCTGTATAGTCTGCATGCTGTAAAAGTATTTGATACAGGCATATATTCAATCAGCCTTGAAGAGGTACAACAGTCTTGCATGTTTTCAGCGTCAACTATCGTGACAGTCAAGTGGATTCCTGGTCACTCAGGAATAATGGACGAAGAAGCAGACGCAACTGCACTCTCCGGTTTACGTATGTTGCCTTGTCTAGACAACAAACAAGGATCCATCTCATTTTCACACTCCGCCGCATCATGAATAACTGGCTACAGGCTTTGCTCAGTAATTTGTGGGACAAAGCATGCCCTGTTCCATATTGGAAGCTAGATCTGCTCATTAAACAGCGCAAGCCGCTAGAGCTGGCTGTTATGATGTGAAATCACTCAGCCAATTGGACAAGGTGTATTAGATGATATAGAGATCTATACAAGATATGGTCGGTGCACTGACATCATAACAGTTGCATGTGGATGGTGTGAACAAGAATGTAAACTATTCTATAGCATATGATAGAATATCTTACATCACAAGATGGAATATTCTACTAGCAATTAGATAGATGAGCCTTAGGTATAAATAGGAGTATTCTCTTTCATATAGATAGGAATTATCGGGAAACGATTCTAATAAAGCGAACACATATCATCGTCCACTTCATGATAGTGTCAAGCACATCATATTGATAAAGCCACTGTTTGTATGCCATTCCCCTCCTCATAATCACAATAATTTTGTCCTAAGCTAAAGCTATGCACCAGTAATGTGTCATAGCTAGATAGCTGAATACATATTAAATGATTTTTTATAAAAAAAAAGAATGTTCTCCAGTAGAATCTTTATCCTGTCTCAATATCGGCTCTTAGTGAATATCCAACTCTCAAGTTCGTAGAGGATACCATCGACAGATATTCAGCCTTCATCCTCCTACTTCAGTGGTATTTGCGAATGAAATATAGAGTATGAGCGTCTCTGGCTTCAAATGAGCCACTCAACATGTACACATAGCTCTGGTAATGTTTCGTAGCTACATAGCTGAATACACATTAACGTATAAGAAAAAATAACCTAGCTGCTAAATGTTCTCTCAGAGCTTAGTCTAGTCAAATTTAGCAAAGCTGAAGAGGTAGACTCACAAAAATATGGTTTAAGATTCACTTTCATGTTAAGCATTCACTTCCAATAACATTGATTCTGTCGGTAAATGGATCATATTTGGGCAGTATGAATTGTTCTATCTAATTGCGGTGTTCAGGTTGTCGCTAGGACACTGACAGGGATCAGACTTAGCTCATTAGAGAGGCGCTTCGAGTAGAGGAAGAAAGGGGAGATGGAGAAGAAGAGGGAGACAACGTTTTGTGTATTTCAAGATAGCAGCTAATTGATTATATTCACCGACTTCGTGTCGGACAGCTGACTTCGTGACGGCACTCAATTTGTATTAATTCGTGTTTTACCAACATATTCAGAACAAGGTCTTATCAAGTCCACAAGAATAACCTAGCGCACCAACATCTAAATTATCAAAACTATTATCGGCTAAGTCTCTGGCCTCGGCCAGTCTCCATATTGACTCCCACGACAAAATGAAAAACTGGAGAACGACACAGGCCATAGTGCAGAAATCAGTTATGGCAAATCTTTGGGATGGACAATAAAGAAATCGGAAATTTTGAACGTTAAGATGCCAAAGATAGAGATTCACATTAACGGGCTCAAATTTTATTTTTTGGCAATTATGTATCACAAAAAGGAGCAATGTGTACGCATTGACTTCGTTTGCAAGAATGTAAGTGACCCTGTAAATGGTTTTAGAGTGTAGTAGTACCAGATCCGGGCTATTTTATCAGGTAGAATCGGAATAGCTCGGATATCTTTATCACTTTGGTTTGGGGATCGCTAGCTCGACCTCCGCAAGAGTTTGGTTGGTTGATTAGCTTTTATTGTAACGCTTGATTCAAAGACCATCCTGGCTTCTGCAAAACCTGGAATTATGTTTCGCGATGCTCATTAAGAAGGATATGGAGGCATGCTCGGATAACCAAAGATTTGGCAACTTCCGTCTGGTGGACACTGATGGTGGAGAGTCGATTCTTCTGAGTGAGTCATCGTACTTGATAGTGGTTTTTGCAAGTAAAATTAAAGATATGACTGTTTCTGGAGTCAAAAGATTCAGGTAACATATACACATAAATTTATAACTGACTACACATTAAGTGACTTAAAAAGATTAATTTCACATTATTTGTTGACGATAATGTGCTCATTGTTCTTGAATTAGGCAACTTTTAGAGGAGCCTTACATCGTGATTATCATACATGTCTAGTGAGCAGATGTGAGTTCATTTGCGGATTTATATCTGAATGGTAAAATCTCTAGCCGCTTGCCACGAGACTCCTCGAAATCCAACACTTTAATTTGTTAGAATAGCGTGGCTATCCTTCCAACGATCTTGAGATGTGCGGCTAGATGAGCTCCGTAGTCCTCTTTACGCCCAAATTGGGCCACGTCGGTGAATGCTCATCCAGGGAAAATTCCGAACAACCCTGAGTTGTCCAGACACGCCTCCATTTCTATTGAATAGTCTCCGCGCGAAATGTGGCCTGAAGCGCCTCCTTCAACAGTGAAGTAGATGTCCGGGCCACTCAAACTATACCAGTGAATACCACCGTGAGGCGGACTACAATATCTTCCGTCCTTGGCTTGTATTCATAGTCTCAGCTGCACTTTTGCATTCGAAGACTTGGCGCGCAAAATGCTCTTAATTGTATTAATCTGCTTGCCAAAATTCAAAATGTGATACCCATCGAGATTACACCCATCTTTTGCAGCATATTGTAAACTTGCCCTGATTTCCTTCACATTTGTCCCAAAAAAAGTGCCATATAATTTTGTACGCCACGATTTTTATCTTCCTGTTGGTATCGGTATTGTCGTGGGCGTATATTTGGTGGCCAGCTGAGGCAGGAGAATAGTTGATAAGAGGCGTAATCATTGGAACCAGGATGTACTCGGTCGTACTTGTAGAGTTGATGTATCATGGGTAGGAGTCGATCTCGTTGGGAGTGGAAGGATGACCTGGTGGAGTAGTTTACGCATTGCCTCGTGGTCCAACTTCTATCGTATTGCGAAATTTGACTGAGCCTAGTTCTGGGAGAACATTCCACTTCCAGGTTTGCAGGGTACACCGCTTACAGTTGTTCTGTCATCCCCACCAGTTCGATCAGGCTGTAAGCGTCCTGATGCTCAGAGGGAGTTTTTTAAGTGCCATATGTCTTCAATGAGAATGTAATTGGAGTCAGATACCGTGAGCACACTAAGCATTTCACTAACAGCTGAGTAGGCGTCTGATCTAAGAATTTTCACTACTTTACCGAGGATACATTATAATCTACATACATGTAACAGATATTTACTCTATGCGTCTGATTAAGCAGAACATAGAGCGTGATGGCTCGGGCTCTGCGACACTATTTCCCGAAGAAGCCGAGGACATGGTATGGAAATTAATGTGTTCGTGAGAGCCTTGCTAATTAGATGCGAAAAGTGGCATGCGTACAATCTCATAGCAGCTGGTGACAAACTACGAGCCTCAGCCATACGACGCGTGACAACAGAATCAGCAACAGGCAGCACATCTTCACATCGATTACACATCACCCTCCTTATAATCGTCAAATCAGTCGATTTTGATCCGCAATGCTCACAACTACACGTGAATGGTCAGGTTGCTGAAGAAAACCAATGGGTGAAGATTGGGGCATTTCACACTCTGGATCTTGAATTACATCGGAATTTTGTAATCGAGAAGAAAGATGGATGGGATTCTGTTGCATTAGCAGCACTAAAAGAGTCCGTAAAAGAGGACAAGGAGGGCTCTATACCAGCTATAGTTATGCAGGAAGGTACAGCAAACATATGTCTCATAACAGAATTCCGAACAATTCTTAAGCAACGAATTGATTTATCAATTCCCAAAAAGAGGAATGGGAAATCGGTGGATCATGACCAGGGAATGAAGAAATTTTATGATATTTGCCTTGAATCATTGAATAGGCACTTTGTCATTGCCCAGCCTCGACCATTACTGATAGCTAGTCCGGGATTTACTGCTACAGCTTTTCAAAAGCACATCATAGACCAAGCTATTCGCACAGACAACAAGGCAGTGTTAAGTAACCGGAATAATTTTTTGGTTATACACTGCAGCTCAGGCCATCTATATAGTTTAAATGAGGCCCTAAAGAGTCCCCAGGCTCTCGTTAAGCTCAAAGACACAAAGTTTGCTCGGGAAACTAAATTAATTGATGACTTGATGGAGCTCCTCCGAAAGGACAATGGAAAGGCATGGTATGGTCCAGCTGAAGTAGAAGAAGCCGTCAGCCAGGGCGCGGTTGGCCCCGGAGGTGGCACCCTGTTGATCAATAACTCACTATTCCGCAGTCAAGAGATACAAGTTAGAAAGAGATGGGTTGATTTAGTTGACAAAGTAACTGAGATAGGAGGTGATGTGAGAATCCTTAGTAGCGATCATGAAAGTGGGAAGAGACTGCAAGACCTTGGCGGTATTGCAGCAATTTTAACATTTCCTTTATTTGGACTCGATGAAAAATCATGCTCAGACAATGCAGGTCTTGACTGACTCACTATGATGCTAATCTCAATTCTTATCATCAGGACTACATATAATCGTGAACCACTTTGTTATGGATCTATCGATTATTGAGTGTCATGAGATGATCTTTGGTAATTTAATTATTATCATTGTATTTAGTTAGTTTAAGAGTATATGGGACGCGCAGGTTCTCTCTGCATACAGACCAAGGATACCTATACCAGTAGTATATCCCCTGCTATGCCTCCAATACAGTTCCTCTCAAACAATACCACCCATCGCTTGTTCTCATTCGATCATTCAGTAAGGGGAGCTCTTTTCTCTTCGATATCTCCCCTCTCTAGCCAAGGAAAAGATGGCCATTAGCAGGTGTGTGGCAATCGGGAAAAATTGTAAAAACCACCTAGTGCGGGCCCTCATAATACGAACATCATACTAAATCTGAAGTATAATGACCCTTCTGAAGCGTTTGATAAGGCTAGCTATATAGACGGTTTAGACCTATGCGTACCTGGGAAGGTCGCATTGTGAATTTCTAACCTTTTTCCAACTCTTTCCATTAGTTGTATCTTCATCGCCTTTGTTATCTGAAATTTCTCTGGCAATTTATGATTCAAGATCCAATATGTCATTCATTAGATGTCGCTAGAATTATTTATCGTGGCTTGGAAGGAACGAGTCTTGAATTATCTTTAGATATTTCCTCTACCATTTGAACACCGAGGACAAGATACAATCATATGCTTGGAGTTCTACAATTGGAAGGCACATGGAAAACTTGGGCTGCAGACTTTAGGTACTTTTCTTCCATATAACTATGAGTTGAGCTTCGTGTGAATCGTTCAATTCTGCAATATTGGATTGCTTTGGGCTCTTGCAGGATTTTGGTGAAGAGAGAATGGCGATTCCTGGAAGCTAATTTTCCACAGTCCTGAATTGTGGCTCCGATAAAACTTACTACATTCCAAGTTTTAGGGTCCGCAAAAGCGAGTTGTTATGGCTGTTCGGACTGCCTTTGAGTTGACTAGGATTTCGCTCATTCATAGTGTACTGCGAACTTTCCCGCTTCTTTCTGTTAACTTTTGAACTAGTCTCCCCCGCAATTCTCCTTCCGATGCGCCAGATTCAATCTTCAACATCTTGTTTGTATGTTTTCTCTCACTTGTAAAGGCAGCTTGATCATACTGTAAGCGGAAGGAACGGCCTTCCGATCTGGTAGGTTACTTGGGTGTGTCAGCTCGGACATGCAGTGTGGTAGTTATTATGGAGTTGTGGCGCGTGAAGGGGATCCATTCTCGGTGTAACGAGATTAGATGTAGTGTGGTATGAAATTTGAAAAATGGATTATTGATATGGTATAGATGGCACTGTTGCTCAGTTGGGGGCGTATAGTGGTGCGCTTCCTATTAGTTAAATGATCAATCCACAAGCGAGCTAGCACTGAGATTAGAGACTAGCTTCTCCGATATGTAATCAACTATTATCACAGTAACCTCACTGTACCCACAAGTCTGCAGCGCCCAGCTGGCCGGCCTCTTCGAACGCTACAGAAGGGGCACTATATCTTCGGATTTAGTCCTAATTTCTGTACTAGAAGAGCCCCGCACCCAGTGGTTTTTGCGATTTTTCCCGGCTGCCGTACACCCGCAAATGTCCATCGTTTCGTTGGCTGGAGAGGGGAGATAATGAAGGGCAAAGTGCTCCTCTTAGTGTATGATCATATGAGGACTTGTGAGGGGTGGTACTGTTTGAGGGGAGCTGTATGGAAGGCACAGGAGGAGATATACTACTGGCATAGATATCCTTGGCCTGTAGGCAGAGAGGACCTGCATGTCCTACATAGTCATAGACTCAGTCAGGACAATAAAATGAATTAGTAATAGTAATCTCACCTCTACACATCAATGAAGATATATCTCCATCAACCATCTTAGCTGTTCCAGTGCAAGTTTATTCCTTACATATTATACCAAGTAGTATATAGCGGCAGACGTATTGAGCCCTCTGTCACTTGAAGTTGATTTATATCGGAAGGTTAAGAGTTTTGCATTATAGCAAACTCGTGCTGGTCGATGTGTAAGCTACCTGAAGTATTTTCAAGCAGTATCTTTGAATTCTTCGAAGGGGTTTGACCATTCTTTCAGGTCTCTTACTACCTGGTGTTACAGGCTGCGCCTATCTCCTAGTGACTGTCGCACGGACACTTATCATTATTACGTCATTAGCCTTGCTATCTAGAGAGATGTCCAACTTGGCCATACAAATACAGGGTTGCAACAAATATGGAAACAAGATATTGTTGCAGCAAGTCTCATATGGAATCATGGGCCGATACGACCCAGATTCGCTATGACGAGCCCACTCGGAATATCAAGGATATGATGTAGTAGAATAGATAGTGAGGTTAGCGCATTGGGAGTTGGGACACCTTAAGTAGCATCCCCTCGGTGGACAGTTCCGAGATGTATGTAGAAAATAGACAGTAATCGGCCACCATTCCTTTACTATATTGTTTTGTTGATCGCCCATCACATATTTTCTACATCATCCTAACATTGTAGTTTATCCCATTAAACAACAAAATTTCCGGTCAACCAAAGACTAGAAGAGAAGATCAAATCTTCTATGAGCTACCGAATCCCAAGTATAGATATCGATACCGATTCGACTGACAACGCTTCCTTTCATTCCAGGGCAAGTGAAACTATGTCGGAACAAGCTAACGTCAGCGGTGCCCATTACGGCCAACCGCAAAATACGGTTCATGAGCAACTAGGCGAACCCTCAGAGTTCGAAGAGCAACAGAGCCGATCTCCTCACCAAGCTGGGGACATTCCATCATTTAATCCGTCGTCACCTCAATATCAGGCGCTATATAATCAAATTATAGCAGATATCTCTCGCCGTCAACCCCTATTGAATGCGCAAAATTTTCCACACGCAACATCAACTCAGCCACAGTACAAAAAGCCCAGCAAGTGGCCTTCGTGGGACGGCTCAATCACTACTCTATCATCTCATATTTATCAGCTGATTGTTAAAGTCGAAGAAGATAAACTTCAGCTAGGGTCGGATCGCGCTATATGTCTAGGGATCCTGAATTCCATACCAGCAGATAAACAATCCAGAGTGAGTCACTGGTTTGAGACAGGAGGCCCTTCAGGAATGCACAACTGGAAAGATTTTGTCGAACATATCAAGCTTGAATTCGAGGATAAACAAGCCCGACAGACTGCAGGAGATCTACTTTATCGGATGCGTATGGGTTCCAATCAATACTTCTGCGACTTCTTTCAAGATTTTCAGGTTAAGCTTGCACAATGCGGGGGAACTAATTGGCCTGACAGCAGCAAGATCATGAAACTTAATTCAAGTATTAACGAATCGCTGAGTGACCATCTGGTATCCAAAGATCTACCTGATGATGATTTCGAAACATGGGTTTCTATGGTCAAAAGAGTAGCGGGACGACTCGAAAATCGACCATCTTATCGACCAACAGGCTGCACTGGCAAGAAAACTTGGTATTTGTCTCATAAGCAATCCAAGTACCATTCCAGCACAACTGACCGATATCTTCACGCACCAGACCTTGACGATGAAGGAGATACCAAGATGGGGGGAGTTAATGCTATTGAGGCTCTCAAACTAGCGCTAAACTCCCTAAATAGTCGAAACATTACCAACAAGCCCAGGGCTAAATGGCGTTCCCCGGAGGAATTTAAAAGTTTGTGTAGCGAGGGAAGATGCGTCCGATGTCGAGAAAAAGGTCATTTATCTCGCGCATGCACTAAATTCGGTCCAGCTCAAAATCTTGCTTCAAGGATCGCCTATGTAAAAGGCCCCACGAAGATAAGGAAACAGAGCCACGCAGAAGAAAAGGTCAACTATGAAGAGTTGGAGACCAGTGAGGTTTCGGGGGAAGAGTAAGCTCTGAGCAACGTCGCGCTCAGAGCAAGGGAGAATCATTTGCCATTGATTTAGTTAAAAAAACAGATAAATTGAACAGTACTCCATTTTTAATAGATTGTCTGTTAAATTCAAGTTTCTTTGTGCAATCTTTGATTGACACAGGCTGTCTCTGTTATGCTGCATTTTCTAATGAGATCGTGAAGAAATGGGAACTTCCGCGCATAAAAATACCAAAAAGATCCTTGCAACTAGCAGAAAATGATGGGAAGCAAAGAACAATAAACGAATTGACTTTTGCAGACTTCGATATTGACGGTAGACGAGAAAAGGTCTATGGATATATTATCCAAGACCTTTCCTACGATATTATCCTGGGAAAACCATGGATGGAACAAAATGATGTCGTCTATCTTGCAAAGAAGCGAGTGATTCGATTTGGTTCTCAGAAGTATGGACAGGTTGTCAGAGAAAAGGGTTGGTATGATAACATTGCCTCATTGAAGTTAAAAAAAGAAATACACCATGTTGCTACAGCTAAAAAAGTATTGGGTGGCAAATTTATTTCACTAATGAAGCTTGCTGAGGTGGAAACAGGATCAAAGATTTTCGCCATTACAATGCAAGATCTTAACAAGGCTCTGGAGATAAAAAGCGAAGAAACATCAGAGGAAATAAGAAGGACACTTCCTCCTTCCATAAAACATTGGTCCAATCTCTTTGTCGAAGACAGACAAAGTAAATTACCCCCACATCAACATTCTGATATGAAAATCGATTTAGAAAGAGACGAACAAGGTAGAGAAAAATCTATACCTTGGGGCCCACTTTATGGAATGTCAAGAGATGAACTCCTAGTTTTAAGGAAAACGCTAAATGATCATCTCGATAAAGGATGGATCAGAGCCAGCAGCTCGCCAGGAGGAGCACCAGTGCTCTTTGTTAAAAAGCCAAATGGGGGTTTGAGATTCTGTGTAGACTACAGAGCCTTGAACGCAATCACAGGAAAAGATCGGTACCCACTACCACTGATAAGAGAAACTCTGAGATCAATATCAAAATCGACATGGATGACCAAAGTTGATGTTCGCGCTGCATTCCACAAACTTCGAGTTAGG